GAGAAACATTGAAAAGACGTCATGTAATTATTATCACAATGGGTCTAGCCACTATAGCCCTCCTTCCTTCTCTCTCTCTCTGGCTTTTTGCGATGTTGTTACGTCTGATCGTTCCGGCAATATGGCCGTAGGGCTCGGCTCGGACTTGGTTTTCGCTTCTGTTGTCACCGACTCTGAACGCAATAAAAAAAAATATTTAAAAAATGAGTGAGAAAATATTAATTGCGACTCAGCCACCGGTGAATAAGCGGGGGGGGGGGGTATAGGAGGCACTTTTTTGTCCAATTTTCAGTAAATATTTTGCGCCGACTCAGTCAGCCGATGAATCAGCGAGAGGGGGGGGGGGTGCGGAGACCACAAATTTTTGTTGGCCTAATTCGTGAGAATTTGTTTTAATTTTTTTTTGTATTGTTTTTTTTTAACCGTCAGCCCCCCCCCCCGTCGATCCGCGCCTGCAGACGCTCCAGCCGGCGACAAAGGGGGGGGGGAGCCAAATATTAATACAAAATTTAGTGCCGACTAAGCCGGCCGGCGAATAAGCGGGGGGGGGGCGATTTTGTTTTTTGTTTTATAATTTTTTTGTATCGTTTTGGTGAGCAAGGGGGGGGGGCGGGCCGGAAAAATCGCTATGTGGATCCGCCCCTGCAGTGCCGGTCTAATTCTCATTTGTTATAGTCTCAATTTCTTTGTCATTCTTCCATAAGCGTCACTTTATAAGTGGGCAGCTAGTGCCCGTCAATTTTTTAGATTTACATTTTGTCTATAGGTTTAATGACAACGTTGTCGTTGTTGTTGCTGTTCTCCTTCTTTTTCTTCCCTCTTCGCATGTTCTTTGTCTCTGGCTGTCTGTTTCCTTATCAATACTTGACTCTGGCTCCTTTCCCTCCCCACTCAATATTTTAATATCTTTTTATTCCATTTAGAGTCAATGACAACAGAAGCGAAAACCAAGTCCGTGACGAGCCCTAAGGCCACATTGCCGGAACCATCAGACGCAACGACATCGCAAGAAACCACCACCTCCAGTAAGCGAAACATTGAAACGACGTCATGTGATTAATATCACAATGGGTCTTGCCACTATAGCATTCCTTCCTTCTCGCTCCCTCTCTCTCTCTCTCTCTTTCTCTCTCTCTCTCTCTCTCTCTCTCTCTCTCTTTCTTTCTCTCTTTCCGTCTCTCTCTCCTTCTCTCTCTCTCTCTTTCTCCCGCTCTCTCTCACCTCCCCCTCCTCCCTCCCCTCTTTCATTCATAAATTGGCCAAAAGTTGCGATAGTGAGGAGACTATTTGTAGGTCTTGATTATTAAAGGGACTTGGTAACATTGTTCAGATGAGAGAAAGTGGTGTTAAGGTAATGACTTCAATGCTACATGTACAATTAAAGATAATATGAAAATTTGAGTGACAGCAGACCATCTGATCTGATCGAGTTGTTAATTCACCCATTAGTATATTATTACAATTTAATTACATTTTAGGTGAATGTAAATCATCACAAAGCTATGCATTGGCTCTGTATACCATCCTAGGCATTTAAGTGTCGTAATATGTTTTAAAGCCTGTCTTTTGTCTTATTTTCATAGAAAAACGGTTGGGAAAATTCCAAAAATGGTTTGGAGAATTTTAGTGTTAGACGGTGTTGACCAGTGACGCCTTCAAAGAAAACATTAAATATCTTTGTGGTTTAAAAAAAAAATCAGGATTTTTTGCATGTTAGAGGGTTAGTCCCGTAAAAGAAATATAATAAGTAGCATTTCATACAAAAATTACGCAGTTTTTTTCATCAACCTTCAACAATGTTACCTAGTCACTTTAAGGCTGTAATTTTGTCTTTGCATCCATTTTTAGTATCTTTATTTTCGTTATCATTATTATTATTATTTTTGCCATTATCATCATCATCATCTACAATAATAATAATAATGATAATAATAATAATAATAATAATTTTTCTTTAAATATATCAGTTTCTACCCAAATAATCACTTTGTCTACTTTCTTAAAATTGAGCAATTTACATATCGTTTTTCATCTTTTCAGCATGCTCATCTTCTCCGAAGGAATGTAATTACGGCGGGTCGTCCTACAATTTCAGCACTTGCGAGATGAATCATGCTTCCGCGGTTTCAGCTTGTTCCCAATACGGATCCCATCTGGTCTTCATCGAGTCGCCAGAGGAACAGGACTTCATTGTGAGGCATGATCGGTACCACAACTCGAACTCTAATGGCTGGAATCAATACTGGATCGGGCTGACCGGCTCAAGTCTCGGTGAGGCAGGGTGGCTAGACGAATTAAGTCCTACATGTTGTCTAATTAAGTTTTGGCATTATGATGGTATTTCCACCTACGGCTATCATGATGAGGTTTGCTCAAGACAATTAAGATTCATATGCGAGAAATAAGTGGGGATATGAAAATTGGAGTTGTTTCTTTCAATTTTGCATACCACTTGGTTAAACCCCTGATTGCATCTGAACCCCTAGATGGGGGCAAGTGTATACCCCCCCCCCAAAAAAAAAAGAGAGAGAGAGAGAGAGAGAGAGAGAGAGGGAGAGAGAATTTATAGATCTTTAAGAATGTTCGAGTTTGTAGTTTTTTGTAGCTCCATTCACTCATTTTTACACGAAGAGCACCGAAAAGATTGTTACAGAGGTGTTAATTTATGATGTTTAAAAGACGGAGCACTTGTCATCTTTACTAACAAGCAATTCGAAAATAATCATATTGATGATTAGAATTAGTGGCGGTTTGTTCTCTTTGTGTTTTATAGAATCTCTTTTTTAATGCCAATAGACTTTGTTCAAACTTCATAATATAATAATACACTGTCGCTCATATAGTTGGAATATTTTTGTTTTACCCCGATTTATGGAATTATTTTAAAAATAATTTAAAAATAATAGATCTAGATAATGTATACATTCTGCGTACAGTCATGGTTTAGTGACAAAGCAATGGCCTCGTAACTGTGAGGCCCCAAGATCAAAACCGTGTCGATGTGATATATTAGTGCCCTTTTGTGGGCATTAATCCTCATTGCTGTCATTTATGACTTAAAGGCGTAGGTCCCCTAGTTGATAAGCATAGTAGCATACGCATGCTTTAGCAGTCACGCAAAACACACATTGTCCAATTATTATTCAATAAAATCTGAGAATGTATACTATTATCTAGATCTATTATTTTTAGATTACTTTAAAAATAATTCCATAAATTGGGGTAAAACAAAAATATTCCAACTTTATGAGCGACAGTGTAGTTAGTGCTTCATAAAATGATGAAACGTCAACAATATTTGATTATGACATAAAAGTGTAGTTTCTGTGGTAAAGTATTTATATTATATTACATAAACTTACACCTACATATACATGTAAATACACATACACATGAACATGTAAAGACAAATACACATACACATGTACATATACATATGCATATACATAGGAATAGGAATATACATATGTGTCTGTGGTCTCGAGTAATGAGCTTATACTTCAGATACGAATAGAACTAGTGAATAACGAAAACAAATAATGTAACGTCAATGTGTCGAATACACGGCAACTTATGACATTATTTACTCGTTTTAAGTTTCAAGTTTATCTATTTATATTTCACTATCATTACGTACATCAATCGAATACAATGAATAAATGCATTCCTTCAATGAAAACTACATACAATACATAACATCATGTAATATGTAATTCAAGACAAGAAAAAAAAAAGAGACAAAAGTCAATATTTTATTTTTCAAACTTAAGGTAGAGCAAATATGGATGTAGTGTGAAATATGAGATAATTTAAAGTAAGATGCTCAGTTTATAAATTATTAACTATACACTGCGTTCCAGAAAAGATGAAACTCGAAAACAAATAGATATTGTGAATATCTAGAAGTATATGATAATATTCCTTGCTTTCATAGAGTAGAAGTAATATGCTTTTTAATGATACATTGATTACATTAATCTATACACGCTTCACTGAGCAACATTGTTTTTGCAATGTCATGTCAACATCCACTTGTGCCGGATTTGTGTGAAAGAGTAAAACCGTTAGTATCAAAGTATCAAACGTGAACATGATCGATCATGACCGGAAAGAAACACACATTTTAAGCGAATGAGAAGATCATTTTAATGTGCTTTTTTTTAATAATGAACGCAAGACTAATACCATCTTTATCATAAAATAATGCATTGCGGAAATATTGTCGATGGTGAGGGTAAAATGGCATATTTTCGTTACTGAATGGGTCTGCTATTGTAGAACCGCCTGAAGTTTTTAAAAGAGCAAGTTAAACAATTGAATATTCATGAAACAAGAATCAAATTGATGGGCGCCTACATTTTGATAAAAATATTAATAGTATCAGTATTGTTGTTATTATTATTATTTATTGTTATTATTGTTATTACTATTATCATTATTATTATCATTATTATTATCATTACTATTGCTATGACGATAAATATTATTTTACAAGTTAATAATTATACTTATTGTAAGTAAAGCCGATGTAAATATGCAAACTTGATACGATGGGAGTTGCTATGTTACAGGATGTTTCGTTTTCTAAAGTAATTGAAATAGTAGTATTAGTGATTAAATGTTTGTTTGACGTGCAATAATTTAGTTTCAATTACTATCCTGTCAATTGTATTTGTTTGAGTAAGAAGAAGAAAGAGAGGAAAGGAGAAATTGAGACAAGTTCTAATGAAAGAGATTTATAATTTAGTGAGAGAACTCGAAAGGAAGAGATAAAGAGTGAGAGAATGTGAGAAGATATTGATGTAAAGTGAGAGAAATTTGTCATGAAAGAGATGTATGATAGAGTGATATAATTTGAAAGGAAGGCTCAGATAAAGATTGCAAGAATAAGCGAAGGTGGTAAAGGGAGCGAATCGTTTAATTAAAGGGAGTGAGATGATTTAAAAGAGAGGAAAACAAAAGAGTGAAAGAATATGAGAAGATAATAAAGTAAGAGATTT